TTTAATATTTGTCTCGTTTTCGAGCGAAGCGTTGTATATATATTTGGAGAGTGTTTTAGAGTAAAGCCTATACTGCAAATCTAAAGAATTGAATGTAATAAACACGCGAGTATATAGTTGAACAATTAGAGAAGAATGCTTGAATGTTTGTATTCACATTGAAAGTCTAGCAAATAATTGTCACTATCACCTATATGATATTGAAATTGTCTTGCAATTGAGCAACTATACTTTAATTGATAAGTGGGAAAATTCCATTTTTTCACCAGATAAAAGCCTAGAAACTCTGAAAAAGATTTCCCTTGTAAGTGGCATATTGTTGAAAAAGCTATGACGTAATTTATTTTCTTGTCAAATATCAGCGGCATTCGAAAGATTCGTTTGGAGAAGAGAGCAAATGTTTGTTGAATAAAGAAAAATCATCTGAAAATTTTTACACGGAGTTGACTTTCTAAAACATCTTACACAAAGTACATTTTGGTATTTTGAACACGTGACTCTTTCCTTTATACTGCAAAAGTTGATTACCTATCAATCTATCTATTTGGTGGAGAATACTGACATTCTGTTGCTTCTAAATCTGGCCAAACTGGTTATGTTTTTTTCCTCTAAAATCAATAGAATAATTAAGTTGGTGTAGTTTTGCCTGAGACGATAATTACTGTTTGAGGCGCAAGCCGTTTGTTCACTAAATAATCTATCAAACTGCATTGCTCTGCAAAAATTGTCACGTAATAACATCGGTGTTGGGTGCTATCAGCTATACGTTGTTAGTTAATCTCTTATATAGCGACCACTATCAATATGTTACTGCGGACGATTACGGAAATCTGGACCATAACTACATTTGTAACAAATTAGGATATTCTTCTTTTCATTCAGCAGAGATGTTTTGTCTCTCAGGTGAATGATATAGAGCGTAATAAACAACGGAGAATGAATTCCAGATTTTGCTGAATTACTACTTTTTGCAGATTTCGGCTACGAATATACAAGTTTTGCTATTACACCAACAGTAAAATTACACCTTTTTTTTTTCACTATTTCGCTTTACTTGAACGTTTATATCTCTGTTTACGCTATCATCTTAGTTCTGCCATATGTTGAGGACGCATTTCTTTGAAAAGTACCCAGTTGTAACGTCGTATAAATATACAAACGACTTTGAATTTGGTGAATACATCTTCACTTCTTTTTCCTTCCTTATTACCAGTTTATTTTTTCCGTTCAATTAAGAATCGTTTGAAAATGAATTTCCATATAGATTTTTGAATCAGAATGACAAGAAATAACAAAATCGAAATAAAAGAACTAAATGAAATAGTAACTAATGTATGCCTAGACTACTTCAAAATAAATCTCTTTCTTTAATAAAAACGTGCATTTGAAAAAGGTGTTGATTTGACAATTAGGGTTAGGAAAGTTTTCTCTACTACCGATAGGTTTAGGGTTAGAGTCCCATAGGTTGGCACTGACGTATCTAAATTCTGATGAAAGTCAAATAAATTTCACCAAAGGTTTAGGAAATCAGAATGTTTTACGGGATGTCAGAGTTAATTTTTGTGTAGTTTAATTGGACTGTCACAAGCTCATCCAAACGGAGTTGAGACAGTTCACTCTGGAACAGTTCAAGCCTTTTGACATCAAGCTACAGGTGCATATAACTTCAGGTTCACCTTACTGTTTTAGTCAAATGGTCCTCTTTTCAACTGACTCTTTCCTTCAAAGATCATTTGGAAACAACCTCTCTGGAACAAGTCTTGCACACTTCAACATTGGCTGGTAGCTTGGCAACCTACTATTACCCACAATCTACTCTGCTATTGAACTTTCATATTGTTACTTGCTTAAGTATTCTATTTCAAATAAACCATTTAAATTAAACACTTACAAATAAATAGTTGGATTCTGGAATTCAAAGTAACCTCTTCATGACACAATCCAATTTTACTGATAATTAATTAATTTATACAAGAAGCATATCCATTCAATTTTCAAATTTATAAAAAGATTCCAAGTAGTTTTTGCAATGGATCTCTCTGTGTAAGTAATTTATACAGAGTTTTAGTCTTTTATCAATTAGTTGATATTTTTTATGAAATATTTCAAATGAGAAATCTCACTCACAAAAGATTTTATTCTAAAGTGATAAATGCATTTACAGGCATTGATTTGTTATCAAATTTCATTAAAAACTTGTTTAAATATTGTGCAAAACTAACATTTACAAGAAAAGAAAAGCCATTATAAAAAGATCAAATGTTCAAATTTTTCATGCAACTTGAATGTCTACAAGAATCTTTTTGAAAAGCATTAAATTCAATTATGGCTTCAATCTTTAATCTCTTAATTAAATTTCTCATATATTTTCTATTTATAATTGAAATTTCTCCATTTTGTCAAAACTATAAAGGAAGATATATAATGAACATTAATCAAAGAAATGCTAATTTCTCCATAGATGCAATAGAAGAGAATGAAAATTTTATCTATGGAATATTAAAAATTAAAATATTATCAACAAGTAAAATTGGACAACTTGGTTTTATTCCATTTCCAAAAAATCAATTTTCAATTACATATTTCCAAAATATATGCAATTCAATGGGATATGATTCAAAGTTTAATCTTACTCAAGCTTGTGCAGTGGACCAACACAGTAAAAATAGATTTTTAAAAATAATCACCAATTTCTAAAAACTCAATTATTTTCAACATTTTCATTAGAAAGAGCAGAATACATTTTGGTATTTAATAATAACCAAGTTCAGTTGTGAGTTGTTTTGTCTTGTACTAATAGTGTTTTTTTGTAAGAAACTTCAAAATAAAACTCTGTTCAATAGGTTTGAATATTCTGAAAGAATGAAAATGAATATAGCTTTAGTGTGTTTAAAATGTTTCATTATTCATAAACCTTGTAAGGAAAAAAAACCGAATATTTAATCAAGTAGAAAATATCCATGATTTCTAGTAGTCTTTTGTAGATCAGTTGACTGACCATAGTATATTAAGATAAGAATGGATATTTTCTGTCAATTTTTTCAAACAATGTTCATGCAAGCACCAATTAAACTGATTTTTTTCATCTTTTCAACTAGTTTTATTTGCCTATGAAATAAAAACTTCAAAATATCAACTATACGTGAGATTTAATGGAAAAACTATTATGTTATTGAGACACTATAATGTGAAGACAGCAAATCAATGCAAAAATGCTTTATTCTTTCAAAATTATCATGAAATGATTGATATAGACAGCAATTATTTTGCTGTATTATATAATAATAAACTATTAAATTTTTATAACATTAATAAATACAATGATTTTAGTCAATTAACATTTCTTTGTGACTTTTCACAGTTAAAAGGTTGGTGGATGACTCATCTTTAAATTGAATTGTTTAGATAACACTTGAATTATTTCTGCTAGATTTTGTGATTGAAGAAATGCCAAAGTTTTTTCTTAGTATCATTTTCAAAGATTTACCATTTCCAGTTGGAACACATTTTATGATAAATTCCAAAACATTGGGACATTTTCCACTGTTCTTCAATTGGGAGGAAAATAATTTCAAAATTGGAACATCTTTGTGTAAATTACAATCAAAAATACTTGGACCAGAATATAAAGTTATAGATTTGAGAAGAAGTCTGAGAGCATACTTTGCAGATAGCTGTAGAACAATTAGTAATCATTTTTATGAGAGTGTCATATCACTTTCAAATTGTAATTTGATAAAAGATGATTTCACCACCTGTACAATGTCAAATACTCAAAATAATATTAAAATATTGCTTGTAGTCTGTGAAACAGGACCATATAATGGTTTTTATTTCTGTTTA